TAGTATTGCAACTTTTTTTTATGGAAGGGGCCCCCGAAATTGCTTTGCCCCAGGCCCCCTGAATCCTCTGGGCGGCCCTGGCCTCTAGAGGCTTATGGCATGGCTCTCCATTCCCCCACAGTTGTGATGGGCCAGGAAGGGCAACACACTGTGGAGAGGCAGCCATAACTTACAGCAGCCATCTGGGCTGCCTACTTCAGACGAGGGACGATTTTGGCCCCGGTTGCAGTCTAGCCTTGGGAGCAAAGCCACCCTGGCTCCTTTCCACTTGGAATCTCAGCCGGTGGATTTATGAACGGTGCCGCTGCATGGGCAGATACAAGACACTGATCTATTTTGTTCTTTGTGACTTTCCCTCCCTCCAGTGAATTGATAGTCTTTGAGCGTGCCTAGTGCGTAAGGCACTAAGTGCTGCCCAGGATTCAGAGCCGCTTGCACATCCCATTCAACCTTTGGCATCTTTCCTGAGACTCTCCACAGGGGACTCCACTCATGCCACCTGACAGTGGCTTGTGTTGTGTTACCGAGACGTGTCCAGGAAGAATCGAACTGAGACCCGACAAACTCATTCCGCGACTGGCTACCAGCTGGTAAGGACTGTCACTAGTTTACATCAGTTACCGAGAAATTAGTACAGCCCTTAATGGTTCCTAAAATATCATGTACTTCTTGAGCCAGGAAGCAACATTATCCCCAACCCCTGGCCAGATACGTAACAAATCCAGGGCATCCCTTCAAATAAAGCACCCTAGGAACCATTGTCTAGGCCAGCGCAACTCAGATTGAAGCTGCAAGTGGCTCTGTAATGTGTCTCCCGCGGCTCTTTGCAGCACATATTAAGACATTGTGTGATTGAATTATTAACCTAAGTAATTAACCAATCAGGATGCTTTTACTATGTTATTAACCAATCGTAGTGGATAAAATAGTAATACTTGGTCAATCATTTTGCTGTGAGATAGATAGATAGATAGATAGATAGATAGATAGATAGATAGATAGATGGGATGTATGGGGATAGATAGATAGATAGATAGATAGATAGATAGATAGATAGATAGATAGATAGATAGGAGGGGATAGATAGATAGATAGATA